GACGAGGTGATTGCTGTGCTGTCAGGAACCGTATAATATGTACCACTAGCTAAATATGGAAATTAAACCATGAATCTCCTGGAACTGACTCAAGGATTATCCTTAGGGTCTGTTTCCCTAAATTCAATTACCACATAATTACCCGGAGTCTCCTGAAACTCACACAGATAGATCAGGTGAAGGGCGAGGGGGCAGCAGGACCCTAGAGCAGCTGAGTGCCTGAGTGTCTGACATCCGCTGGCGGCAGGGCGAAAAGGAGCAGCCTGAGTCCCCAGCCTCTGCTGTGCAGCTTTGTGGTCATGGGGGTTGAGCCCCTGGGGGTGGCACGGGGGTCTTTCTTGTGTCTGCTGCTAATGGCTTGCAGTGCAGGAATCAGCATCACTGTCTGAAAGCTCCCATCTGTCTCTCTTTCTCTCACACACACCCATACACACACACACAGGACTCTGTACACACACACAGACACACACACACACAGACATACACACACACACACACACGAGGCATCTGATTCTGAGGTATTTATCTAGGAACTGTGCACAAACTGTGGGAGTGCATGAAATGCCCAAGACATGTCCCTTGCCTTCCAAATGCTCAAGGCTTTGTCCAGTTGGAGAATCGAGGTGCATGCACACAGGTATGTTGCAGCTAGCAACTGATCGGCGAGTTGCGGGGGCGGCAGTAAATACTGCAGGAGATCAGGCACAGCAGGCCCTAGTAAAGGCTGGAATAATCTAGAACCACCTCAGGGAGGGGATGGGACCTAAACTGGCCTCTGAAGAACCCACAGAATCCTGGAAGCTGGGAGCACAGCCCCTGGAGACAGACAAGGCTAGCTCAGAACTCACTATGTGTTCCCCTGTGTACTGAATGTTGACCTTGAATTGGTTACTTGAGCCTCTAAGCCTTCATTTTACCATCTGTGAGACAGGGACAGTGATAGGATGTAGCTCATGATGACGCCCTGAAGTGCCCCCACAGGTAGTGGGCACTCAATCCATGTTAGCTGTTAGCAGTAACTGCAAAGGGAAGAGAGGAAGAGGAGGGGGCAGGGGGCAGGGGGGTTTTTGAACTATGGCCACAGGAAATGGATACTTGCATCCAAGAATATCCGCCTTTAGTACTATTTCCTCTTTAGAGTCTTCGTCTTCTCAGATGAGCCGCAAACATAACTTGGAACCATAACGTGGAACAATAGAAGAAACTCGATTCAAAAAGCACGAGGATCTGGTTCTGTACAAGTGCAGGCGCAGCTCTTATCTCTCTCCTGTCCCAATGCCATTCTTGGTGATCCAGTATAAAGCTGGAGAGGCTGAGGATGAGGTCCGAGGTCATTGGGTAATCATCCACCAAGCAGGTAGTGAGGGCAGAATGCAGAGGGCTAGGGCAGAATGCAGAGGGCTGGTGCACACTGGGTTAAGAGCTGGGCGGGGAGGGAAGGGAGAGGTAGCCGTCAGTTCAGAGGTAAACATCACCGGGTATCTGTCCCTTGGTCAAGCTGAGTCTCTCAGCCAGAAGTCGTTAGAAGGCATTTGGATCTGACATGAAATGTTAATAATGTTCCCTGGTAAAAAAAATAACTCATATGTTTACTTAGGAGGTTTTCCAGAAGCGCTCAAGGCTCTTTCCCGACCCAGTTCATCCTCACTGTCGTGGCACGTCTTTGAAGGTGCTGAGGAAACTGAGGTGTAGGAAGGGAAAGGGTTTTGGTGAGGGGAGTGGGTCTGTTCTGCCCTCCTTGTATGTTCTAGACTTTGTCGTTGGGGTGGGTGGGAATGGGGAGGAGCCTCAACTCAGGAGCCCAAGGTGGGCCAACAAATGGAGGGACCAATTCTGGTCTTCCATCACCCCTTTGTCTAGGTCTTGTCCCATGCTCGCTCCACCCCCACCTGAAATCACAGGTGAAGGGCCTGCTGTCATGCAGCAGCCATTCTGTGCCATGCCAGCATACTCGATGTCACTACAATCACCGCACTCACAGGATCGATGTGGCTCAGTTCTCAACAGTTCCTCTCTCCTATTGGACTGAAACTTCGCTGTGGGCAGGGGCTGACCAAGTAGACTATTCAGGATCCAAATAGAGTTTCCAGATAATATCCAGGATGCCCAGTTCAATCTGCATTCACATAAACAATGCATTTTATATTATTTTTTAGTATTAGTATATCTCAAATATTTCATGAGACATACTAAAAAATTATGCATTGTCCATCTGAAATTCAAATTTAACTGAGCATTCTAGATTTTTATGTGCTCAGTCTGGCAACCCTAGCTCCAAAGCACCCTGGTAGGATCCAAGGATGGAGCTAACACTGAAGGGCTAAACCTGGCTCTTGTGAAAACGAGTTGGGAGAGGTGGTGCAGGCAACAGGGAGACCAGAGCTGGAGTCTGGGACCCAGCTGGTGCAGGAGGGACCAGCTTCTGAGGGATGGATGGATACACAATGCCCCTCTCTTTGCAATGAGTCAGCTTCAGCCTCTATGCTCAAGGCTCAGCCCCATTAGAAAGGTTCATTTGGAGAAAAAACAGAGAACTTCGGGTCTCTGGGCAAAGTTAAGATCCCAGTGTGCAAGGTTAAGATCTCAGCTTCCTGCTTTCATTCTCTCCCCTGAACTTGGGCTCAAAGAGAGGGTTTAGGACCCTTTGCTTATGAAGCGCTGGCCATTGATAGGCATCTCTGCCCTGCATTAGGAAGAAGCAGTCTACACCTGCGAGAACTGGGGCTACTGGACTCTCCTCCCCTGTCCTGATGCCAGGGCCCCTGGCCCTCTTTGAGTGTTCCTGAGCTTTGGACACGCCTACGTCTGAGAGATTAGGGTGGAGCGAGTTGCCGTGGGGCACCTCTCTGCTGGGTGATAGCAGACCACCTGATTGGTTCTAGAATCAGTACACAACTGGGCAGTGGCCACATGAGCTGGACAAACTGTTCTGTCATCAGAACCTCAGACTCTCATCCCACAGGGAAGCTCAACCCCTGTGGGGTCTGAATGGAACAAGATGCTCAAGTGGCCCCTGGCATATCCGAGGAGCCCAGCCAATGAGAGTCCTGTCCCTCCTGGGCCAGAAGGGGTCTTGGACACTCTTGAGTCTGGTGCCAGTTGGGCATCTCTGCTGCTCCTCCTGACCTATCCATCTACCTCTGTCCCATTGCTGATCTTCTGACCTTAGGTTCCAGGCTCTTCCTAGGACCATCCTCCTCGAAGACCTACCCCAAAAGGTCCACCACCAGGACCAGTTTTCAAGGCCTCAGACCACCTGTAGGCCACACCTTTCTGCGAATGGTAGTAGACAGGTTTCCTTCCCTGCCCACCAACAGTGCCATCCTCTACCTCCCCTACCCTGTTTCCCAGGCTCAGCCTCACAGAGGCCACCCACTGGGCAGGAGGGGTACCCCTAGGGGCTAAGGCTCACTCCCAAGTCACCAACTGTGCAGAACTGAACAAGGGGCTCCCCTTCCCACTCCTGATTTTTTAGTTCTCCTCTACCAGAAAAACAGGGAGATGAAATCCACGCCTGGCATGTGCCTTTGTGTACCAGTCAGTGAAGGACAGGCCCAATTCTAGTACTGAGCAGGCAGTTGGCCAGGAGCAGTCAAGATTCCCCCTCCCTTCATTCCCAGGGTGGCAAAGGGCATTCATTACATCGAGCGGGGAGGGGGGAGTGTTTAGCTCACTCTAAAGGGGGCTGGGGTGATGGGGGTAGTGGGAGGGACAATTCACAAAAGCCAGGGCTAGAAACTCCCAACGGTTTTTTTTTTTTTTTGAACTTCCCTTCCCTCCCTCCCCTCCCCTCCGCCCCCCCACCCCCGGGCTAGGCTCCCCTCCCCCACCTCCAGCCGCTTGGTGGCCTGCAGCCAACACTGGCCACACTGTCCGCATTCAGGCCTCCTGCCCTCCTGGCCCTCTATCTCTTGCCCTGGCCTTCCCAACACTGCGCTCTCTCGCCACCTCTCCCCCCTTAACAACCCCCCATTATGAACCGTGTTGACCTCTTCCGCCCGGGCGCCCAGCACAGGCTTGGCCCCTCAGTCCCAGACGGGCAGGCAAGGGGCTTGGGCGCCAGTAGCAGCCCCGCGCCCACCAGGCCGTCAGTCCCGTGGCCCCTGGCCCTGCTCGGCCACTCCAGCCAGGAAGATCGCTGCGTCTGCAGAAAGGACGCAAGCATTCCCGGGTCTCGGCTTCCAGGCCCGGGGAAGCCGCACCTTGGAGCTCGACCCACTCCCCTTAACCCCTCGGGGCCCTTAACCCCTTCCTGCTTGGGGAAACCAAGGGCCCCAGCCTTGCCACCCAAAGCAGGACGGGTGAGATGGGATCCCACATTTCCCCGCTCACTAAGGAAGTGGGGACGGGCAGGCCTTGCTCCTCTGGCCTCTTCCCCCTCCCACTCCCCATCCACCTCGCAGGAAGCCCCCCGCCCCCTGCCCTGGCCGCGTTCGCGGCGCCTCCAGTCGGAGCCTCTGGCCTGGTGGTTTCCGGGGAGAGAGGCTGGCAGAGAAAGAGCCTCGCAGCTTCCTCGGTGGGGCGGGGCCAGCGATGGCAGCAAGGGACGCGGAGAGGGTGGGAGGATCCCCTCCCGGCTGAACCTGCCCTACCGGGCAGGGATTATTAGGAAGGAACACCCCTGCCACATCAGGGCCAGCGCCAGGGTGTGTTGCGCCCTGGGGTGGGGGTGGGGGCAAAGATCAGCAGGTGCCTGGCGGGCGCGGCGCTGGGGGCTGGCCCCACCGCCAGCACAACCCCCCCGCAGGAATTCCCCTCTCCTTTGGAGAGCCTCTCGACTTCCGGGGAGCGGGGTCACTCCCCGGGTGCGGGCGCCTCTGCTCGCGAAACAAGTCCACTTTGCTTTTGCAAAGGTTTAAGCGCAAGTTGCGATAGGTTCCTCTACAACCTCGCCGCCCCCCACCCCCGCCAGACCTAAGGCGGAAGCGGGATGGGGAGAGGGGTCCAGCCGCCTCCTGAGCCTCTGACGTTCGCTCTTCGCTAATCTCAAACAGCGAAAGTGCACCTTCAACATCTCCATTTAATATTTACATTCAAGCAGGTAATAATTGGAAGCTTATAGTTTAGACATTTCTAGTAGCAGCAGTTTCTAGAGAGCTCGTTTAGCCTTTTAACAAAAAAAAATTTTTTTTTGCACATAGAAACAACACATCCATGTGTACAGTATCAAAAAATATATACCAAGGTTACTGGTATTGCAGTTCCTGGAAGGGGAGGAAATGAAATCAACCGAAATACTGAATGAACGGGTAGAAAGGTCAACAGAAAATAGTTTGTCTGATATAGAATATAACATGATCTAGAGAGAACTCCATAAATCTAGGTTTTTATATTTCAATATATAAATACCTACAAATAAATATATATATATCAGCCCAAAGGGGGTGGTGGGCCTTTTGAGCTCAAACAATACATTTCAATAATAACACCACGTACAAACGGGAGTAAAGTCTGCACTTGACAAGTTAGCACGGTTAAAATATAATACTATAACTCTTAGACCGCCTCGAGTGGCTGCCCTGTCAGTCCCGGAGGTCCACGAGAGAGGGGATGGGGCAGATGAGGGGCGAGACCCGCAGGCACGGCGTGGAAGGCGCCAGTGTGGGCCGGGCGCTCCGGACAGAACCGGGTGGAGGGGCGCGGTTGCCGCGGCTTCTGGCATTTTCGCGCTGGGGCCCGGCCCGGATCTCCCGCAGTTGGAGAGAGGAGGAGTCCGCCCCCAGGCCCCAGGTGTTACGCCCCCGCGGGTACAGCGCTTCCCCTTCCAACGCCCTTCGGAAGGCTACACCGTCACGTACTCCTTGAACGTGACGGTGAGGCAGTTTGCGGTGACGTCGGTGATAATTATATTCCCAAAGAAGGGTTTGAACTCGCTGAGTGGCTCCTCGGGCTCGTCCTGGGCCTCGGTCGGAGGCTTCTCGGCCGCTGTCGCCGGCGCAGCTGCCACCACCGCGGTTGCGGGCGCCTCAGGCTTCACCTGGAGGGCGCTGGGCGGCTCCCCGGCCTCGCCGCGCGTCTTGACGCAGCGCAAGTCTATGGGCTCGTCCAGGTCCGAGTCCAGCAGGATGACCTCCGGTTGCGGGAGGGCGGCAGCGGGGGTCACGTCCGCTGGGCGCTCGGCGGTGGGGCTACCCCCCAGGCAGGTGGGGGTGCTAATGCTGCGCGCTGTCAGGCGCTTCTTGCAGGGCTCTCGCTCGCCATGGGTCTCGGAGAGGCAGCGCTTGCGCGCGTGGGAGAGATTTAGGTCGACGGCGTGGTGATGGTGGTGATGGTGGTGGTGGTGGTGATGGTGGGAGGGCAGCTGTGTGCCGCGGGGCGGGTCCCAGGCCAGCAGGTCAGGCTTGGTGGTGAGCTGCAACGGCTGCTCGCCGAAGGCCTCCTTGGTCGGGGAGAGCTTGCGGGAGCCGGCCTCCTGGGGCTGCGGGTCCCCGGCCCCCGGCCCCTCCTCCTCCCTCCTCTTGGAGGGCGTTTCCACCTTCTTCTCCTCCGCCCCTGCGGCCTTTTTGAAAGTCCTGTCTGCAGGGGGGTGACGCTCCTCGGCAGCCCGCTTCTTGTGGCTGGGGGAGCGCGCCTCGCCCTCGGCTGCCTCCCCGGACTTGATCTTCACTGCCTGCATGCCATTCTCCATGTACTTGCTCATCACGATCACGATGCGTCCGTTCTTGTTCTTGTTTTTGACTATCTTCATCTTGCCCCCAATCCCGTTGCCCGTCACCGCTTCCTTGGGGGCCGGCGTCATCCCGTTGGGGGGACCCTTCTCGGAGCCCTTGCCTGGAGCCCCGACCGCACCGGCCAGGGGCTTCACCGCTCCCAGGTAGCCCTTGGCACCCCCGCCGTGGGCCCACTTATCGGGCGGGTGGCTCTTGGCGCCTAGGTCCGGGCAGGTGGGGCTGGGCGCCTCCTTGTGGCTGCCCTGGTACTGCAGGTCATACATTTTGGGGTCCGGCTGGTAGGGGTGGTGCTTCTTGCTGTTGAGCTGGTAGTAGTATTTGCCGCTCTTGCCTGGCGGCGGGGGCTTGCCTGCCCGCTCCTTGCTGTGCGGCTGGTACTGGTGGTGCTTCTTGCTGTTGAGCTCGTACTGGTGCCCCTGGCCCTTGCCCTGACCACCCAGCTCCAGCTTGGCGCGGTTGTCAGCCGAGGAGTCCTGGAGTCCAGTCAGCACGTTGGAACGACGGGCAAAGGTAGGTACCTAGGGGAATGGGGGTAGAAATGGAGGAAGAGGTAAGAGGAGGGGTAAGGCCAGCCCCAGAGCAAGCCTCAAGCTCCAGGAGTGTCCCAGCCCCTACCAGGTCAGCAGCTGCGTTATGGGGTGGGGTGGGGGGCGGGGAAGGGTGTGGGAGGTCACGATGAAAGGAAGTGGAATTGGGTGTTCTGGAGGAACTCGCCCTGACTTCCGGGCCTGGAGGCAGCTCAGGTGGCAATGTCACGGCAAACTTTTGGACGGCCCCGGGGCCAGGGAGTGTATTCACCTGCACCACCAGCGGTTTGGGCTTCGGCCCTCTCTTCCGATATCCCATCAGCTGCTCCTGCCGTTCCCTGGGGAGAGGGAACAGAAGGCAGTGCTATTAGCCTCAGAGCCACCTCCCTCCTGCTGTGCCCCAGCCTGCGTGATGCCCCCCCACTTCGGTGAGCAGCAGGGCCAGCAAGAACCGGAGGAATCAAGAGCTCACGGCAGAAGATCGCCTCGGCTGCCACTTGGGTGCCTCGGTCCAGCCCAGAGTCCCGCTTTACACCCACACCAACCCCTATCTGCCCAAGGGGTCTTCTCCGAAGGTCTCCCCCACCTCAGATGTCCATACCTGACCCGGGGCCCCGCACAGCCCTGCCTCTTTGCCTGCAGCTTGGGGCTGGGCGGCTTGGCACTGGTGTCCACAGCCTTGGGTCCGGGGCCCTGCACAAAGTGCACTGGGCTTCGGGGTCCAGGGGATGCAAACAAGTCCAAATGAGGTGTGCGTCCACCCTGGGCCTCCCCGTCAGAGGCACGGGATGCTAATGACCTCATTAAGATTCAGATAACGAGTGCCGCCGGCAGAAGGGAGGACTCGGTTCCTTAAAGGCCAGGCACTAAACAGGGGGAGGGGCTGCGCCCTTGTTTACACAGCGGCAAATGAGCCAATTAGGGGCTGGGGGCGGGGGCTGGACGCCGAGGCCAGGGCCTGGCCAGGTTCGCAGCCACCTGGTGAACCGGCTCTGGCAAGGCCTTGGCAGAGCTGCTGGGCGGGGCGACGCGGGGCGGCACGCAGAAGCACCGCCTCCTCCACGAGCCCGGGCTCCCAGCCTCCCGATTTCCAAATTATTATTAAAGCCCATGTTGGTGGCGGTGGTCAATACAGCCGCCAGGCTTCCGCCTGCGGCCTGGTGGAGGGTGACCTGAGGCTGGGGGGAGGATGATCCTAGCACTGCCCAGCTCTCTATGGGAGAAGGGAGTGACTCTCCAGCGTTGGCCAAAGTTGCAAACCATTCCCGGGCCAGAAATCCGCTCTCCAGCGACCCTAGGCAACCCCCCCGCCCATCCTTGGGCTAACCCAGGGGAGTTCCACCATGCCTGGGGGCCCGGGCCGGGGCCTAACTCCAAAGTTGCATGGCATTGCAACAGCCTGCGTTTTAAGTCTTTGGGGACCCATTATGCAACATGGCATGGTTATAGGGTGGTGAACTCCCAGGTGGAACCTGGGCAGGATCCCTTCTCGGCACCCCCCTACATCGCAGGAGAGCAGCTTCCCTGCTGGTCGCTTGTTCCAAGGGTCTAGAGTTTACAGTTTTAGCGCCAAACGCGCCACAGGAAATAATGCAAAATAAAAGGGGGAGGAGGGATGGAAGGCAGCGGTGTGGCCCAGCTCCGCGGGCTCTTGCCGCTCCTCCCCTCCTTGATCGCCCTTCCCCCTTCTGTCCTCCCCGAAACAGAGAACCGCAGCCACCGGCGGTGAATCCAGCTGCAGCAGCTGCAGCGTGACAAGCATCTGTGCCCACGATGAGCCCCTCGTCAGAAGCCACCCCTCCACCACCAGGCAGTGCCCATCCCACACCCTTCGGGCCAAGCTCCCCCTGCCCTGAGAATGGGGTCCAGACCCACCAAGCAGCCTAGTGGGAGGTGTGAAGGGCACGCAGCTCCAGAAAGAATCTGCCCCCTGCCAATCCCAAGCTCCCTGGGGGGTGAGTGTGGCAACTTAAGGCCTCGTCAACTTTTCTCCAGTCCCCAACAGGTTAAGTTCAGTTCCGTGACGTCCGGTGGTTTCACAATGCCAGCTCCCTTGGAGCTGCCCCGAGAGTTGCCCGTGCCAAGCGGCCAGTGGCAGCAGGAAAGCAACACCTAGGCTCCGGGGGTGGGGCTTCAAGGTAGCGAAAGGAGGGGGGCCGGCAGGGAACCAGGCACAGCCCCAACTTCTCCGCGCAGCTGTAGGGCCACCCGCACGCACCCTTCCCACAGTTTCCCCCAAACACAAGCCTCTCCTTCTCCGGCCCTGCCCCCCCCCCCCCCCCCCCCCCCCCCGCAAGCTGCAGCAACCGCCAAGGATGTTGGTTAGAGGAGCCGAGGCCCCAGCCGTGCCCATTCAGACCCGGGGGGGAGGGGACTCCTGCCAGCCCCCTCCCGGCCCTATCCCCCTTTCCTGTTGCAGCGTTGGCCCACTCTCCCATTCCCATATACGGTCACGGCTGCGAGAGGCGGCTGCTTGAGGGACGCTCACCTGTTCTGGAAGGCGATCAGCAGCCGGGGATCCAGGATGTTCTCCTCGGGTTCCCACGTGTTATATCTTGCAAGGGAAAAGGGAGGGGGACACGGCGTAAAAAAAAAAACCGAGCCAGCTTTGCGGCCTCCAGGTGGGGAATGACATAAGGCCCTACTCTGTCTTCATGAACCGAAAGCTATTTAGCTGTGGATGTGGGGGTGGAGAGTAAATTTCTGCAGGCCTGACACGGTCCCTGATACACCCTCCCCGAGTCAAAATAAACACACAAGGGCAGGAAGAAAGGGGAGGGGTAAGGAAAATGAAACTAGCAGTTTATTTTGCAGTTGTCAAGAATTTTAAGCATGTTACTGCGACATGTTCCAAAGCCACTTTGCTCACCAGGAACCCTGCGTGCAAAGCAGCCAAAATGCAAAGTCGCAGTCCCCTCCTCCTCTCCCCAGCCCCGAGTCTCCGCGAGGGCTTCAGCCATTCTCCATTTGACCCCTAATCCGATAACCGTCAGCCAAGCGGCCCCCCACACCCCCTCGCGGCCCTGGAGCCCGCTGTCACGGGCAAGCAACCCCCAAATACTCAGCAACACAAAAATATGCCTCTGTGTGTGTGTGTGTGTGTGTATGTGTGTGTGTGTGTGTGTGTGTGCCTGCGCGTCTGTCTCCATCCGGTGCCTTCGCATTTCAAATTAAAAAAAAAAATTCCCCACCAAAAGCGCCGCAGTGACAGTTCCCAACATTTTCTGCTTTTTTTCTTCCTCTCCCTACACCACTAGGAGGGAAGAGGCACACAATTGCATTTTCGTCGCTTTTTAATTTTTTTTTTTTTTTTGGTTTTGCAATATGGAGCCGTTCGGTGGAGGGAAAGGGGAAAGGAGCCATTTTCTGCTGCACATCAGTCAGTGCCTGCGCCCTCCCTCCCTCCGCCGGCCTCCCCGGCTCGGCCCCGCGTCTCTCCAGCTCCTCCGGCTCCTTTTAGTGCATAAATTAGTGATGGCATTTCCCGGAGAGCAGAGCACAACACAGGGCGCCGGGCTCGGGCTCGGCGGCTCGGCTTCCCCAGTGCCTGCCACCGACTTCCCCACCCCCTCCTCCCTCCACCCCACCTCCACCCCGCCTCCCGTCCGCTCCCCCCACCACCCCACCAGCCCAGCGGGTCCGGAGCCCGGGAGCCCCGCGCCTCGGCACCGGGTTCCCCCGCCCCTCGGCCGCTACTTACTTGGGGGACCAGCCTCTCCATTTCACCAAATACTCCACTCTGCCCTGAGGGGGGAAGAGACAGCACTCCATCAGCTTCCGCGGGATCCCCGGCTCCGGCCCGCAGCCTCCCCACCCCCTCCCCGCCTCCCCGCGGGCTGCTCCGGCTGCCGCTCCCCCGCCGCCTCGCCGTCGCCCCCGCGCCGCCCTACCTTGCGGATCCGCTTCTTCTCGATGCTCTCCACCGCGAAGACGTGCTCGCCAACAGCTGGCAGCTCCATGGCCGAGCCGGAGCGCGCCGGGGCGCGGGCGGCCGGCGCGGCTGCAGACGCTGCTGGCTCCCGCCGGCGCCCCGCTGCCGCCCCGGCCGAGGCGCCCCCGCCGCCCGCGCCGCCGCCGCCGCCGCCGCCGCTCGCCCAGCACAGCCCGGCCGCCCGCCGCTGCCCGCGCCCTCCCCGGCTCCCGGCTCGCGCTCGCTGAGACAACTGAGCCCGGGCCGCGGCTGCACAAGAACTCATGCAAATCCGGACGTCAGCGGGCGGGGCCTCGCCGGGCCCTGCTCGGCGTCAGGGGGCGGGCCGCGGCCGGGATTGGCGCAGCCCGGCCTACCGGAGGCCCCGGGCCTGGGCGGCGGGGGGGGTGGGGGGGGAGGAGGAAGGGCGCGGGAGGGGGCCGGGAGGAGGAGGGCGCCGGGGAGGTGCAGGGGGAGGGATCTGCGAGCCTGGGAGAGGGACACTGGAGGGAGGGAACGGGACCGGGCCGGAGAGGTGTGTCGGCGGCGGGCCGAGGCGGGGTGGAGAGCTTGACGGGGCCGCGAGGGTCTGGCTGCGACCCCTCGCCTGCGGCCTACCGCCTCGGCCGGCTCCCTCGCCTCTCATTCTCAGCGTGCACTGCCCAGGGACCCCTGCCGGGGGCCACGGAAGCATCCACTGCAGTTTCCATTTGCACCGAATTGCATCATGTGCAGACTCCCTGGGGGTCGCCGGCAGGGGGCGGAATCGGAGCAGGGGCAGCTCGCGCCCCCACTCTCTGTGTCCCGCCGCCCCGCCCCGCCCCGCCCCGCGAGGCTTAGGGCATTTAGGAAGGCGAGGAATGGGAAGAGAAAGGATAGGGAGGAGAGAGACGACTGGGTGCAGAGGACCGCCAGGGAGAGCGCGGAGAGGAGAAAGGGGATAGAGGAGCAGCCAGCTTGGGGCCCTAGGGCTCAAGAACCTTACCAGAGGGTTCTCCAATCCCACCCCGGAACCTGGGAGGCTCCTAGTTTACCCTCAGCCCTCTCCTTGTTGGGGCGAGGGCGGGATGTCCAGTTTCCAGCAGCAACCCCCCGCCCCCAGCCCGCGGCCAACACGGCGGGAGGCAGGGAAGACAAAGAGGGGGCGAAGAGAATGTCCAGGTCGGCTTGGGGGCCCGAGAGGACTTCGTGGGGTCCCGGGAAGGGCTTCGAAAGAGGGAGCAGGGAGGGTCAAGAAAAGGTTGAAGCTGAGCAGGGCACAGCGGGGCCGCACGAAAGGGAGGTGAATGGAATGGCCGAGGAGCCAAGCACTCGTCACGAATTCGCGCTCCCTGCTCCCTGACCGGCAGCGGCAGCCGAGCCGAGGCCCTCCCGACGCGGCCGGAGAAGCCGCCGAGTGTGAAGTTTAGCACCTCCGGCGGCGAGACGGCGCGTTCCGGCGTGCAGCTCCAGCGTCCGGCTGGGGGAGCTGCTGCGCCCCACGCGGCCTCCGAGGGCGCCGCCCGCGGGGCTGCGATCTCTGTGGGGTCGGAGTGAGGAGGGAGGGGACCTGAGGAGGGGGCAGGGCGGCCCAAGTGGCAGGGGCAGGGGCGCGCCTGCCCGGGGGTGTGTCCGGGCCCCCAGCTCCGGGCCCTTGAAGGACCGGGAGCAGGAAGTTTGCGCAATCCCTTGGCTGAGGGTCCATGGAAGAAAGAAAAGGAGCAAAAGCCGAGCGAGAGTGGAACGAGCGGGGGGGGGGGGGGGGGGGGGGGGGGGGGCAAAGAGCCATCCGGGTCTCCGCTCCCGCCCTGACACACGTCCCGGAATGCTGGGTGGGGACTGCGCAGGGGCTCGAGAAAGCGGGGGAGGGGCGAGGTGGGGAAGCGAACCCCCAAAGCATGCGTTGGGCTCATTTTCTCCCGGGATTCCGGGAGAAGCCTGGAGACGGTCTGGTGTTTAAGGACGAACACGTTGACTCCACCATTTCACCACCACCTCGCAGCTCCCGCGGCTCGGCGGCTTCTGCTGCCCTGGCGGCTGCGGCTCAAGACGGCCCGCGTGGCTCCTCCCCGGAGGGGTCCTGGGGGCGGGGATCGTTTTCTGGCTGCCCCAGAGAGGGGCAGAGAGGGGCTCGGTCTGCAGCGACTACCCTCTGACAAGCTTGAGGCGCAAACCCAAGATTACCCTGAGAAGGTGTTGGGGGGACGCGCCGGCCTGGGTGGGGGCGACGCCTGCTTGTAGTCCTGGGGTAGGGGGGCTCTCTGGGTTTATAGAAGCTGAGGGAGGCGAATTCTTTGGGAGGGGGACACAGGAAAAGGTTTTCCTCCCCCTGCTGTGTTTTGGGCGTTTTCCTGACGCTCGTGTCCCGGGAGAGGAGCTCTCGTGTGAGACAACTTGACCGTAGAAGGGGAAGGCTCCCCGAGATTGGCGGGGTAAGCGCTGTCAGCGCGGCAGTCACCCTTCCAAACTGAGCCTACCAACTGCCAGGCCGTCGGCGCTGTCGGTCTGTCTGGAGGTCTGCAGCGACCTTGTCCTGGACAGTCCCTTCGTCCGGGGAGGGTCTTACCTTCCCGACACTCCGCCCGCCCCCTCGCTAGAAAATCCCCTGGAAAATCTTTTTCCAAGGGGTGTTTCCGAGGCTTCTCGGGCAGGGGGGTGCCGAAGGAGGGCGAGCGGCCGCTGCAGCCTCCGTGCCGCCAGGGGCGTCGGACTCCGCAGGCCGCTGTTCGGCTCGCTCCGCCCGCGCCCCTCCGGGGCCCGCACTCCGGATCTCGGGGGCCACGCTGTAGAACCCGGTGCCCCGACGGCGGGTTTGCGCAGGAGCCGGGCGGCCTGCTGCTGAGCTGGGGAGGAAGGGTGGCTCCCGCCGGCCAAAACGGCGGATCTTTTCTGGAGCTGTCGGTATGGCTGTGCGAGCAGCCAAAGTCTCCCCAAGACTTCGGGAGGGGATGCCCAGAAGCTCCAAAGAAGCCCCGGGAGTCCCCGGCCGCCCCCACTCCCAGCCTTTCTGTGGAAAGTGACCAAAATACACAAGCATCCGCCGAACCCGGGAACTCGCGTGGTTATTTACTTTGTCCTGGTGGTGGGTGGGCCGATGTGGAGAGAGGCCGACTCCCAGAGCCCTCGCCCCGCCTCGAAGCCTGACCCTAGACCACCCCTCACCTGCCAGCGGGTGCGGGGAGGAGCTCAGGTCCGCGGGACTGCGAATGGATGCAAGGAGGAGGCAGAGACAGAATCTGAGGGGTGCGGAACGATGAGCGCCCTGGAAGCTCCCCTGATGCGCCCCGCGAGCCCCTCCTGGGAAATCTCCCGTGGGGCTTCCCCTACCGTCCCACCCCCTGTCTTGGCCCCTTCGAGGGAGTCGCAGGCGAGTGGAGCTATAAATTCGGGATTCCCAGAGCCTTCAGCGGGGCCCCTGCCTCCGACCCGGGATACCCCAAGCCTCACGGGGAACCCCGGAGAAGTGCCGCCGGTCTGCGCTTTTGACTCTGCCCCCTTCCAGCCGGGGGCAGATCGCGCGCCTCGGTTCCGCCGAGGGGCAGAATTCTCCTGGGTGCCACCTCAGGCTGGGGCCCCTAGGGGCCCTCAAGGGCCCCAAGAGAGGAGCGATGCTATCTTGACGAGCCGCAGGCTCCCGCCCTGAGTACCGAGGGCCGAAAGAGTGGACCCTGGAGAAGCCGGGAAATTTTTAACGGCCCTACACCCGAGGATGGTCACTGACAGTTTAGGGCCCCAAGGGGCCTGACCCGTGCCAACCCGGGGAAACAAACGGCTTCTTAAAGAAACTCGCTCTCTGAATGGACGATCTCTGCCAGGAGATGCCATCACCCGCCCACGGAGCCCAGGTCTGGGCTCTGCCCGGAAGGGGCCGCCTGTGACTTCCCCAGCCAGTCCCCGGCTGAGAAAGCTCTCTAGTTAGTGTGACTTTTTAGGCCCCCAGAGGTGGATTTTAAGTAGCTGAGGGAGAATTTACTAGCAACGACTACAAAATCTGCCCAGGCTTTGACACGAGCTCATTTCTCTCCTCTGTTCTTAGTAGGGGAACTTGTCTTTGACTTTAGCTCTGGCGTATGTAACTTTGCATTTTAGCGCTGGCTTTGGGGCAGCTGACCTTGTGGGACTGTGCGGCGGGTGGGCGGTGAGTAGAGTGGGGAGGCTGTGTGGGAGTCCGGAACGCTGCCCCATGCACCTTCTAGGAGGGATGGCTTTGTCCCTAAGGGCTCCACTCCGCCCTCTGCGTCCCCACCCCCAAGTTTCTGTTCTTAGTCGCACCGCCCGCGAAGGGTCGGCTTTCATTTGGGTGGTGAAGCCCCTAACGCCCCCACGTCCCTCCTCAGAGAGCAGCTGGGGGCTGGAGCTGGGGCTCCAGGTGGGAGGGCCCGGTCGGGCGCGCGGGGCGGGGAACGGGTCCGGCGCGCCGCGAGGTCGTGGCCCCTTGGGGCAAGCCTTGGGGCCACATTGGCCGCCGCAGGGTCGCGCCTGCGGCACGCGGGGGTCGTGGGCGCCGAAGCGGGACGCGTCGTTTTCTACGACGTCGGCTGGTCCACCCCTTCCCAGCGTCAGGGCAGCTTCTCAGGTTCTCCGGAAGAACCCCACCCAGCCCCCGTCCCATGCTCGGTCGCAGGGCTCCCGCCCGCCTGGAGATATGCGCCCCCAGGATCCATATTTCAAATATGATCTTTGGTGTTGCTTCCACCGCCTGCCGCCGCCGCCGCGCACTCACAACGGCCTCTGCGTGCTGTGTTTTTCATTTGGGTTTCGTTTGCCCAAGGTCTCCCCGCGGATCTCCCGTGCCTACGAGGTTCACCCCATTCACACCCGCCCCTGCATTTTGCTCTCGGGTGCTTCCGTTGCGCCCCCGAACCCTGCGGGGCCCATAGAGAAGGCAGATTTCTTTCTTTCCTTTTTCCAACCAAGAGCTGCTGCAGCAAACCCGGGGATAAAATAAAAATCGCCAGGCGGACCCCGAAGTAGTAGTCAGCCGACGCGCGACTGCTACCCCACCCTCCCCCTAGCCCAATGCGCTCCCCCTCCCCGCATCGCGGCGCGCCGAGGGTTAAGCGTGCGCGGGAGTGGGTAGTTGGCAACGCAGGAAAAGCGGGGGTGGGGTGCCGAGCGGCGGCGGGCCGGGGAAGCTGGGCTCGCTCTCCTCCCCCTCCTCGCCTCTGCCAACCCCGGGGTGGCGAGGCCCGAGCGATAGGAAGGGCCTGGTGCGTCTCCGCCTTCCCCGCTGGCCGGCAGCCGAGTCCGGCCGCGGCCCGGAACCGCGA